ATACAAATCAACTCAACAATGTAGATTCGTACTAATGTAGGTACTTATGAATATTCTTTTTATTACCGCAAATGTTATTTGATTAGTAGGGGAGAGTGGGGCACGGTGGCCCATGGGGCACAGTGGTCCAATCCACTCACTAGCGACACCGGTGGTCGTACCGGGCACGTGACCAAACTGAAAAAAGTCACGGTCAAGCCTGTCCTTTAGGAAATTTATTTGCGCCGGTAGGTCGTATTGGAAAAAGTTAGGAGACTTTCGTTGTTTTTAGGGGGCCAAAGTAAAAATAAATTGCCGGAGTTTTTTTCTTCTAAACTGCAGCCCGCATGACTTTTGTCGCCCATATTGGCATGCCAGGTAGGTGCCCCACAGTGGCTTATGACGGGGTATAAGATAGATCGGCACTCTAGCCTACTTGTCGTGAGAGGGTCATTTATCCCATAATGGTGGGCTTGGGCACAGTGGGACATCAACCACGAGTACACACTGGGACGTGTCCCACTGAACCCCTCCACAGCTCTGTAGGGTTTGAGGGACCTAGAGTAGCCTACCTTCTGTCCCCGCTCCTGCTTGCTAGTTGCAATGTTGGATTGTCTTCCTATTTCAGAGCAATCCTAATTGATTTAAATAAACAACTAGCAAAATGCCACGTAAAAGGAAAAGAAAAACCTCCATAGGACAGATCGATCCATTGGTAATGAAGAGAGCAGCAGAGCAGGTGATTCATGAAGGCAAAAAACTGCGTACAACTGCAAGAGAAAATGCCATTCCCAAAACAACCCTATCAAGGTACGTCAAAAAACTGAAGTTTATGTCAGAAAGTTCTGTGTCCGACTCAGCGCCCTCAGATAGCCTCGAGTATTTTCGTCCTAACTACACGGTAAGAAGAATATTTTCGGATGAGGAAGAAGGTGAGCTTTCGAGTTATCTGCTACAGGCATCCAGACACCACTACGGGCTTCGAAAAGACGAGGTTCGAGAGCTAGCGTATAAAATGGCAGTTAAAAATGGAACAAATATTCCGCGGTCATGGGTTGAGAACAGTAGGGCAGGGAGCGACTGGCTGTACGGATTCATGCAGCGTCATCCTAAACTCTCTCTGCGCAAACCAGAAGCCACAAGTTTGTCGAGAGCTAGTGGGAAAGATTACTTCGGCCAAAAGGGGACTTCTTGTGACAATGATAGGAGCAGTCAATGCACTAGAAAACTCCATACCTCCGTGCTTCATTTTTCCTAGAGTCAACTTCAGAGAACATATGCTGAGAGGTGCGCCACTTGGTGCAGCTGGGTTTGCAAACAACCTGGTTGGATAAATTCAGAAATCTTTCTTTCATGGATGAAACATTTCGTAAAACATGCAAACTGCACACCTTCAACTCCCGCACTATTACTAATGGACAACCACAAGAGTCACATCACCCCCCCCCCCCCCCCCCCCCCCCCCCCCCCACTGTAGTCACAAACTACAGCCTCTGGACAGGTCTGTATACGGGCCGCTGAAACATTACTACAATAACGCCGTTGATGCGTGGCTAACTCTTCCAGAACATGCAGGCAAAACTCTAACGATATACGATATCGCCGGAGTTGCTAAAACAGCATACATTCGCGCGTTCACGCCTGAAAATATTCAGTCGGGATTTCGGGTGTCTGGAATATTTCCGTTTGATCGAGATATATTTGGCGACCATGAGTTCTTGTCTTCCTTTGTTACAGATCGCCCAGAACCAAAAGTAGATTATAGCGAAGAGTGTCAGGCTGCGCCAAGCAACGCCGATGTAAGCTCTTTGCCTGGGACCTCCGGCACTACTGCACATTTCTCACCAGAAGATGTCAGACCGTTCAACAAAGCCTGTCCGCGAAGAAAAAGGTGTGGGAGAAAGAGCTCAAAGACGCTTGTTCTCACGGATACGCCGGTGAAAGAGGCTTTAACAGCTAAATTGACTACCTCACAATCCAAAATCAAAAGCTCTAAGAAGAACCCCAAGCGAAAGAAGGCTGCGGCACCTGCTGAAACGAGCAGTGATGAATCATCTGTCCCCTTGAATGACGATAGCGATCTGGAAAGTGAAGTTGATTTGCGTGTAGACGATAGTGTAGATCGGGTGACAGCTGTGGGGGATTTTGCCATTATTAAATTCAGTAGAAGGCGTGGTGGAAACGCGTTGCATTACGTCGGTAAAATTCTTGACAAGGACGACGACGAGAAGGAATTTGAAGTTATATTTATGCAAAGAATCCCGTCGAAAGCAACAAATTCCGCTTTTGTTTTCCCCGAAGATGAAGAAAGCACTTTCGGGCTGGATGAAGAAGATGTAGTCTGTCGCCTTGAAGCTCCAGTTAAAGTTGGTGGCACGGCAAGAGCTTCCAGACACTACCGATTTAGTGAAGATCTCACACAATGGAATATCCAGTAGCTTTGAAGGACGAATAAGGGCTCGATATTTTAGCAAAATTTCTTTCCTGATGGTGTTTTGTTCTTTATAAATTATTTCCTTCTCAGTGTCCCACTGTGACCCAACCACCGTCCCACTGTATACCGACGTCGGGGCACAGTGGGACAAATTTTTTTTTTTTTAAAACCTGGCTCACAGGAAATATATTCCCATTGAGCAAATTCTTTGGTAAGAAATAAAAAGTTCGTTTCTCTTACAATGTAGTCATATGCTTTAGAAGTTGAAATAGCGTAGTAAATAGTTCGAAAATCGCCAAAGAAAAAATGAGGGCCACTGTGCCCCACTCTCCCCTATTTGTCTAGAAATACTGGGAAGGTATTATATTTTTTTTAAATATACCTGCATGAATTTATCATTTTTTCATATGAACCATTTTTAGTAGAATAGAAAAATCGATCATAGACATTGAATTGAAATGAATCAACGCAGTATATTATTAATTAATGCAATGCTTCCGGAGCAATCAGCCCTGTCGTGGGTCAAGCGTGACGTTGTTGAACCAAGTAAGATCAATTGTCGATTGAAAGGCATAATTTTTTTTGATTGTAAGGTGAATTTTCTTTGGATTGAATATAAATATGTTCCATGGATACAACTGGAAACGAAATTTTGGGTTTATGTGGAATTAATTACAGAAAAATACTCATATGAACAATATTGGCAAAAAACATTAAAACATGAAATTTTACGTTTACGAGGAGCGAGATTTGAATAGTGGAAATTTTCATTATAGTATATACCCTTTACATCATACAATATGAGTTATTGGGAGCAAAATGTTGCATTTGTGTGATGAAATACGCTACTGAAATGCCCTATTTAGTAAAAATAAACATAGGCGAAAATAGGTAATCTTTACAATTTTCAAACTCCAACAGCATGTCTGACCGTTCAATAGGGGTGATATTTCATTCATTAAAGTTATTTAAGTATATAAACTCTGCGTCCGCAAAAAAACTTTTGCGCTATTTCGTCATAATGGATATAGGCAAGAAAAAGAGAAAATTTCACCACTCTACAGCATGTCTTTGCGTTTAAGAATGGCTAGATTTTATTATATTAGTATATACATCCTGCGTCACACAATAGGATTTATTGGGGAAAATATTTCGCATATATGTGTCATACGTTACTCAAAATACCTTATTTCGTCAGAATCAGTATACGCGAGAAACGTGAAATTTCATAACTTTCGAAGTACAACAGCATGTTTTCCGATTAAGAAGGGCGAGGATTCATTATTGATGGATATTTTACGTATGAATGAAACAACATCTGCAACAATCAATGTTATCATATATATATATATATATATATATGGATATATATAAAGATCCAAAGTCATAGTACATAAAAATTCTTAATCCATCCCCATATGCCACGTTTACATATCCTTTTAATCAGGTGAAGGACCAATTAAAAACTGACTAAAAGCGCACAAAACCACGAAATTGGGTTGATGTTTAAATACACGGTTGGTAAATTCGCCTGCATAAACGATAGACTGAAATTTTGCCAGAATGCTCAATTTCAATATCCTAAGAGAATCGTGAGACTAAACTCTTATCTGTGGATATCCGAATTATTTTTAACTCATCACAAACGGAATTGTACGTTTTTTCTCAAACTTTTGCCTGCCATATATATACCAATATTGACAGGTTACCTACGACATTTTCTAGATATAATTTAAGAATAATGTTACGTATATCTTTTACTTTTTCAACCCTTTTGTACATCATCATACATTAGATTGTATTTTTTTCTGTTACTTTTATTTTTTATAAAAACAATTTGTGGGCTATATGAAATCCTAACTTGTTACGATGACGTCATCAAAATTGAAAATTGCGCACATTGTGATTACGTTGCTCTCTTGTTTTAAAGTTTAGGCCCAACGCGAAAATGTGAACATGTTTCTGACTACCGGTATAGGTAAACACTAATATTTTTTCTTCAGCTGTGTTGCGATTTCCACATTGACGCATGTAACCATGACATGTAAGTTATTATAAAGTTTAGTACCAATATCGTTGCATTTTGTTAACTGCATAGCTTCATTAGTTGTTTTTGCCACAATAGCTTTGGATATATATATATATATATATCATGAATAAAGTTGAATGTATCCGTTTCAATAAAAGATATGATTCACTATAGGATGTCAAAATTTATAGTTTGAAATAAGTTCTGAATTTTGGCATAATTCTAATATACTTTACAAAATTTTAAAAAATAGTTTTAAAGTTTTTAGATCCCACTCCAGATGCGCAGTTTAGTTCCGTAGTAATGTTGTGAATACAATATAAATATATGGTGGAGTAATTCCGATATAAAGACCCATACCCACTTTTCGGATCAAACATCAAAAAAAAATGCATAGAATTTATGACATGAAAAACAAAAATGTTTATACTGATGTATAAAAAATTTGAAATCATGTGTTATCACAGTAGTGGTAGGCGATTTTCTATTTAAATATACGCTAATCGCATTTCCTGGCTCAGTGATTATTAATTAATTATAAGCCAATTAATTATTAAGTCAAAATCATTATCATTATATTTTATTTCAATAATACAAACGAGTGAAAAAATAATATTGCAGTCGGGATTTATTATATACAACATGGCTTCCTTCTTACACAATGGAAGAACTGTCTTTCTGAAAGTTCTGGACAAAGATCAGTATGACAACCAAATCATACCACGATATCATTTTTCGTCGGAGCATAAAATGTTATCGTTGGATATAACTTCTGTGGAGAAAAAGCAGTTCTTTTTAACAAGCTTTGTACCATTCGTCGATGTATATATCTACGAGCATGAATATCATTCATCGCATTATACTCCACGTAAATCGGATTCTGCTTGTTTCGTCGACGTTCCGATTTTACGCTGTCAAGCACAAAACCTCTTTCTCGTTCATCGAGCTCTATTGGTGGTGGCGTTGGCATGGATCTTCTTCGTGCTGACAAACGATGCAACCCTCTTTTCTCTGGCGGTATCCTTCGATACTCCTAATTAAATTGTGAATTTCAATTGTATATTTCAATTTTTAGTCGAACAGGTCAACTGTAATATATATTAACATGTACGTTTATGAACAATAAGAGTTGAGATGGGTTAGTACTGTATTTGGCATAAAAACTCCATTATTTTCCCCGAACATAGATTATCGTTTCACAAAAGCTTGTATAGGAATGTTTCCATTTGGAATCTTGGTAATACGTCACTGACTTGTTCCAGTACTCATTTATATGGACGTTAGAAAAAATGCTTGTTTACAACAATATTCAAAAATATTTTGTATATTCATGTAATGTACAAACACTGTTATATCTCACATCAGCGGAATGTATCCTTCCCATGACTTGTTGAACTACAGGAGATCTGAAATATCCTGCTGAATGTCGATCTTCTGTTGCATTGTATGGTCGAATAATCGGCGTTCGTTTTGGTCTTGTGAATGGGCTGTTATGGTACTAGGAATCAAAGAGTATCGGTTAGAAAATATAGGTAATAGTAAACTTAAAGATCGACTTCTAAATCACATAAATACACTACTTTCTGAATATATATTACGTCAACTTATTTTCTTTCTGAGTTTTGAGAGTTCTTAGAAGCTTACTACATTATTTTAAGCTAATTCTGTTTTCAGTTTGAAAATTAACATTTTAAATTAACATTTTTCATATTACCACATCCGTCTTTATCCCATCCAACACATATCTACTTTCTCGATCTCTGATTTGGAGTATCGGAGGACGTGGTCGAATATCCGGTAAAGAATCTCGGATACGAAGTGGGGAACGATTCGTTAGGTGTGAAAATTTTGCCATTGACGAAACTTTAAGAAGAAAGAAGAATATATTTATCTTACCCCAGCAGCACTTCAGCCGAAAAATTTATTTCAGAAATGGGGTTTGGGTAAGAAACTGCTGCTTATATACTGCTATACAAAATGATTCTTTTGTCACAACATTTTACATGGATACGCGGCATTTTACAACTTTGGAACAATCGCCAGACAGCGATATCTTCAACGATCAATAGGCTCAACTTAGCCAGATGTTTTATTCAGTCTGTGAAAAATTCAAAATGTCGTAAACTAGCTGAAATTAAAAGCTTTCATGACACTTGAAAGAGTTGTAAAATGAGCTTATCACTGGTCGTATTTCCTATGTTACTCCGCCTATCTATTTTTTCTTAACCCCGATAACTGGCGCGGCCTATATTTCACTAAACAAGACTCATGTGGTCACGAATTAGTTAATCTCCAATTTGCGATGGGTACACGGTTTTTTTGTGTAATGAAAACAGTTAAGCGTGATTATCTGGTTGAGAACAATGGACAAAAATAATGTAATTTCAATACTTTTTGTTCGAAGGAAATTGAACAAGTTTTGTCAACAATGCCTCCTTCAACAGGCAGTCTTTCAAGAACCAATTGTGATTGAGTAAAAATAGTCAGTTATATTACAGAGGTTTTCACAGTATGGTATTAACCACACAATGGAATAAAATAGATTTTCTTTTTTATTCATGTACAAGGTATTCTTATATACCCGTATGTTTAACATCAACTTCTATTATTTTAAAAAACTGAAACAGTATATTTACAACTAAATTAAATTCGTCGCTGATTTTTTGAAGCAAGCTTGTTGAAAGAAATATACGAGTCAGATGTAATGAAAGAAATGTAAAAAAAGACTTCGCTAAAATAAACTTGTTTAAAATCCAAACTCACCGCCCTCATTCAATTCAATATAATTAAAGGCCCACTGAACAATTGTTCACGTGGGTTTACACGTTTTAAATAAATATATAAAATTCACATTTCAAAGTGCAATTCAAGTGATGACTTTACGTAATAATGTATGTCTGATTGTACATTACAGATTGAAGAAAATGAATACTCCGTAAAGCCATAGCATAGAAATATAAAATATGAACAACAACACAAAACTTATTAACTAAAATAAGGCAATACCTGCGCTTATAGATCGCACTATGGGGCGACCTGAATATGGCGTCATTCGTATACTTCTAGGTGGTTGTGACGTTGGCGTCGGAGAAGTTGCTGCAGATGACATTGTTTCTAGTGCACTAAACTATTACTGAAAGGCCTATTTCTGATTTGATTCTGCAGACGACTACTCCACAGGAGTTTTGTCGTGGAGAACGTTCCACGGTTGCGGAAGTATCAATCCACTCATAAGAAAAGATTTCATTATTTGAAGTAATTAATTTTGTTGTTTTGTTTTCTAAAGCCTAATTGGATCGTAAACCTATTGTATGCGAGGGAATGTGTAAAGAAATAAAAGAGCCTCAATGCCTTTGCAAGCATTCCACACTTCAGAATCTGTGGAGCTTGGAACAAATGATACAGACCTTAAAAATAATCGCATAATTTTAATATTTTGATGTTATGCAAGATATTATAATGTTAACATATTGTCAATGTTAGCATAATGCTAACATATTGTGGTCTTTGTACTCAAAATAACGGTGAAACACAAGTAGTAACTCTGAAATTTTAAAACAGTACACACGTTGTAAAACATAATAACTTCATGTAAGGTAAGGTGACCGCATATATTGTCTGTGGAACTCTATTTTCCCCTTTGTTCTGTAAAAAAAACGCTTTTCCTCGCGTAACTCGATTATGCTATTCGCTTCCATCATCCGTGCAATCTATACAATGAAAACATCATATCGATGTATGTAACTTAATGCAGAAAGTTTAATTGTTTTGACTTAATTAAAACTATTCTACGAAAGCTGAAGATAATTTATTGCTCTATCTTTATATACTTATTCCAGATGTTCAGAAGAGATCGACTCGCATAGAATTGATCACAAAACAAGTGCTAAAGATAGATTTTGTATTGTACAGCTATATATCAGAACACGGTGGTGCGTGTAAAGCAAAGAGGTTAATGCCATAATTAGCTTATCATATCTTTAGAATACAACCGTGCGTGTATTCAGTTGTTAATTAGATAGAACAACAGTGATTACTTTTGTTGTTCCTGCTGTATTCAGACTATGCGATGGTAAATGTTTCAAAAACTCCATTCGGGGGTTATGCGATCGTATTGGGAGGCGGGCCTGGGTGAGTAATTTATCATTTCAGCATTAAGTACGATTTGAAATATTTTTTTTTAAATTAAAACCAATTAATTAGAAACGCGAAGTGCTAATTGCATCACCATAATTGTTATGTAAGTGACAAAAACAGTGATTTGACAATGCGATATGACAAGTTAATGGTGCCTTGGCACTATTTTCTTAGCTTCAACCATCGTCATTGTATTTATGCTGAATGTCTTTATGCTAGGACTGAACGTAACTATTTAAAACGTTTCGTAGATCTCAGTAAAAGTTGAATTTTATGAAAATATCGTTATTAGCAAAAACTGCCTTCTTTAAATCGATCGGCCTATGTGGGTGGTATCAGATCCATTATGACTAAAATTAGACAATGGTTAATTTCTGATATTTTATGTACATATCACCTCGGATTCCTATGGTGTCTGTTTTTATTTTTTATTTTTATGTCGGCCTAGTTTATAATGATAAATCAAATTTTATGTGTATCCACATTTAATTTAGGAATTATACGGGATATGGTCACACGGGATGGCGAGAAGGAAGTTCTCCATTGTCTTACTTTCCTCAATATCGCGAAAGAACAAGTTCAGCCACAAAAAGAAGAAATACATACTATGCTAGACAGCTACAAACAACAAACTTGTCTGCCGAATATCGAAGATTACCGACTGTTTCAAATATTCCTTATATAGCTCATGCTCAAGTACATCAGGGTCAACTTCGTTCAAGTAAATGTTTTACTTAATGTTTGATGTTTTGTTTAAATAAAAGTAACGATTTTCAGATCTTGTCGGTTAATACTTTTTCACATTAAGTGATTAGTTGTTGTTACACGGGGATCCGTCTGTGTACGTTATCTGTACCTCTGTGCCCACATACAGGGTGGCCCAAAAGTAGGTGGTGGCCCAAATGTAGGTATACAGTTATTAAACTATTTTATATGCTTTAAAGCTATTTGCAGTTCACTTTATGTTACGTGTTAAGTACCACAAAAATTGCTTATTTTTTTAGATAATAAATCTAGTGTAAATTTTACATTATTTTTCTAGCTGCTTGGAAGGTAATAAAAAATAAATAAAATAACTGTATACTTACTTTTGGGCCACTATAGCAGAATGGTAGCAACGACTTCTACATACCATTTCAATTTTGAATTCAATCCGATCCAGAATTCGATTTCAACTCACAATCAAAAGAAAATAAAAACATTACTATGTTATGTTAGTTCAATTAATTAAATCAGAGTTGGGTTATTAGATGGAATAAAGGAAAAGCATTGGGAATTATAATTTTTTTCTGCTATAAGTGTACAAAGGTTCAATATTTATAAATGTTGATAAATATATATTTAGCATTTCATTTCAACTGTTGTACTAACTTTGAAATTCTTTAAGTAAAATTTCAGGTATTTCTAAATGAAAATGTCCCATTTCCTGTTACATACGTGTCAGCAATTTTATTTTATTTTATAATAAAATTTACAAAATTAGGTGAAACGGTATGAGTGTATCCACATGGCGTGATTTAAAATTGCGTAAATTTGCCAACATTTTGAAACACTCAACAATACCTGTAAATGTAACTCATTTAGTCTATGAATCTGAGTATAAAGTGTTTAATTTTTTCAAACTTGATATATTTTAGGACGAACGCAACTATATAATTTTCCGAATCTTGCCGACACTCCTTCGCCCGCTACAACGTTATCACCGTCTAGTGAGCATACGAAGAAAGACAGCAAAACTTCAGTATCGCGGAAAATATCACCGCATGTTGTCAAAAGGCGAATTCCTCAAAAACCCTTTGTTTTGCCAGAGATAGCCAGTGAGTTAAAATAAATACCAGTATATCAACCCTAATTTGTGTATTATATAACTTAGAGATCGAATATAAGATCTAGATTTGAACAAGGTTAAGGCAACATCTACGAACATGCTTCTATAATGTCTTTCGTTCAGCACACAACCCTCATTGTGTATAATAGCCGGCCCCAATTCTAGTCCTAAAATCCTGTTAAATTGTAGTTGTGCCTAACCTCGCTAGCAATATGTGGAAAAAATCAATTCTGAAGAAAAATGAATAATTTTCAAATTTCCATTATTACCGTGATACTGATTTTACAACCCCAAATGTTTTTACACGCTTAACCTCACAACTAAACTTAATGGTATTACAGAAAGAACCGCTGGAAAAAGTACCTTAGATACAGCAAGTCATCCGGGTTTTGCAAAGGGATTCGCCGCATCCAGGTTGGTGACTAACTAATGTGTGTGTGTATGTATGTGTGATGCGGTTTACGGTGATAATTCAATGGGGAATTGTTGAACAAAGCATGGCAAAGATGAATAATCGCGACTTAATGACAGGTTTCAAGTTATACATAATTCAGTACGTAGATACGACCAGGTCTCTCGCTATAATTTTTACTTCTGGATCAACTAAAGAATCCCCCCCCCCCTCCATGAGGAGAAGATTCTTCAGTTAGACTCACCTTTGGGGTTTTTCAGTTGGTCGCATTTGGGGTGGAGATTCTTCAGTTGATTCCGTTTCCCAACTGGAGAATATCTCCCTCCCCCAACCCACCTAAGCCGATTATACCAGTTGATCCTTTATTTGACCTGGACTAATTATTTGGTAGGGTCAGATGGTCATAGTTGGGGTGGGGATTCTACAGTTGGTCTTAGTTGGGGTGAAGATTCTACAGTTGGTCTAACTTGGGGGGGGGGGAGGTTCTTCAGTTGATCCTCTTACTTTTTGGAATTTTCAGAGCCGACAGTGGATCACTAGTGAATACACTGCGCGGTAATAAACAAACATTGCACTGTACAGAAGAATCAGATGGCAAAGTTGGATCTGTACCGGATATTGATGTAAGTAATATGTTTTTGGCATTTAGTTGTGTTTCAACCTTATTAATTTACTTCAAGTAAAACGTTTTTCCTAATCACAGTAGACAGTAGTTAATCCGTACATCTACCCAAATTGGTTCCTATTTGAAGGCATGAGCTAATATCTCATGATGCACTACAGCGTATTCTCTCGTTAAAGTGTTTATTAAATTGCACTAGTTTCAACATATTTCTAGTATTCGACAATTATTTTAAGTTCATCTGTACTGCTTTATCGAATCGATAGTTATACATGCTGACTCTTGGCAATTATTCATTATGCAGACATTATTTGTGAATTGACACACAAGTCATCTTCTTGTTTTATTTCTTATTATTTTATTCACACACAGAGAATATTACTGGTTCCGCATGGTTTGGAAGAATATAATTATACAACTCTTGAAAACTTAAAAAAGAAAAGATTACAAGATACTTATTTTGGAATAATGGAAAATCATAAAAAGAACAGAATGCAAATAGTAAAGCGAAAAATACAGTTGGCCGACCAGGTTAATGAAACATTTGTTCATTACTTAAAAAATAAGATATTTAAAATTGTTACCAAGAAGATCATAAGACGGTTGAAAACCAATGGTGAGAGTCCAGGCTTTTTATTCTTGAAAGTTCAGAATGTATAGGAAAAATATATTTGCATGTCTATGTATTGATATAGACTATAGAGCTTTTAAATATAAAAGGAAATCCCAAAAGATTATTTTACCGCGGTTTTATATGGTCACTTTTATCGTAATAAGTAATCGTAATTAAGTAATTCGAGAGACCAAAACCTTGAGCAACTCACTGTCTCGAAAAATGATTTTGTTGAATAAATATATTAGTAACTATACGCAGAAACGATACCAATTGATACATTTTTTCAAACTTAGTTTATTATGCGCCAATTTCCAAATATTATCTTGGCACGTGTTGATAAGACAGATAATAATCTAAATTTGTGTATGTTTCGCAATATCAATGTATCTAGAGAGAATCATAGCAATGGTACACCAGGGACTCGTTTGTAGTTGATATGTAGCAAATTGCGTCGTGAAGTCATATCCTCAGAACGGCACAGTACAAGGATTTTGAAAAACAATATATGGTAACCTAAATATGTTAGTCCCGTAATATATGTGAGCAATAGCATTTCACTCCCTAAAGAGGACAATTTTAACCAGTTAGTATATTTGAAAAAATTTAAGAAATCCTAAAATATTATACTTTTGTTTACAGATCAAACGAAGAAATCTTTATGCCGATCATGCAACCTCCACAATACTAGGACTTCGTCATCACGAGCCGATTCGGATTCCAACTGCAACCATGGATGATGCCGACTATTTTATAGATCACAGTGATAAACCGAAAACGTTGAAAGCAGTCGAACAAGCAAGAAAAAACATATCAGAATCTTATCTAAACGTATGGAATTCAAAAAGACAATATTGAAGTAACCATAATACTGTAACAGTGCTTTGGGCTGCAAGTTCACTACTCCAATATTAAACCATGCGCAGTATCTGAGAGAAGACGAACTTTACACATATAAAGCCACGTAAAAAGTTTTTGGTTGACAAGCATCACGAACATCTGTAAAAATTTTGTAAGACGAATATTAAGTATCAAATTTACTACACCTATAGAAAAAAATTCTTTCAATATTTGAATAATAATTCGATAATAGGAATGTATTTTGCGTAAAACGAAATAGTACAGAATACGAAATTAAATAAAATTTTCAAGATTGTAAATTTATGAAAGATCCAATAATGACAATAGAGCAATGCCACAACAACTATTATCCTTGTCTTTATTTCGACTGAGCCACTGTTTTGCATAAATTCCCGCAAAAAATAATTCTTACACCAGAAAGACGCCTTCATCCTAAATTTTCCTGTCAGCGATATCCCTACTCTGATTATAATCCCATTATCAGTTGGGATAGATAAAAATAGGTGCCAGTGCCACGTTCTTTTTTTTTGACGAAAAGTATTTGCTGCAGAAGCCATCCACTACAGCAGCAAGTAGTCCATCCATCAGAAGCCATTGCCCTAGCATAGACTGCTTCAATCCCAGACTCGCGGGCCACATATTCGTAACATCATCATCTCTGGCTAGATTTGCCAACATGTAATAAAAGGCACTGTGACACATATCCTCACGTTTTGAATTAAATATAAGGAAATGGGAAAACAAACTATTTGTTCTGGCTCCTCTGCAACTGTCGGCCAATTTTTATATACACTGATTTTCCTGGGACTGAAAGCACGAATGAAACATTTGAAAATATTAACACACTCATAGAAACGTTTTGGGTTGACAATTGCCGCTAGCTGTTTTCGCGTTTTGAAAGCGGTTTAGATCTTTGAATCAGGCTATAATTTTCTCCATCTCCATTGTTAGCGTTTATGCAAACTTTCAGGCTTTATATATATATGGCTTAAGTATATATATGCCAATGAAATTATTGAAGCGTGCGGTTCGACATTTTATGGGTATATTCAAGTATGAAACAAATTTATAGCTCCAGTGAGTGTAAATGATAACATAAATGTTCGAAGTCTTGGTGTCTTATTTATATCATTTAATTTAGGCTTATTATCTAAATACTTGTATCGTAATCAAAGCCATAATTGGTATATTTCTTAAAAATGTGCTACCTTTGCCTTGATTAATTATCAGAGCGACATCTAGAAATCTTTATGGTTTTGAAATATGCATCTTTCTTCTCAGTTTTTGTTTCCGTAATATAGTTGAAAGATAAGTTGTTCTGTTTATATCTTTTCAAAATTATTAGACTACGGCTATTGTTCCTTTTGTGATTGATATTTACGGCTTATTTATGGCTTTACGAGTTCTCCAAATGGTCTAGTTCTGACGCGGTATTTGGCAGACTTGTTCATAGAAATTCCATGGGTAACGTCCCATGAGATATGTTCCGAAATAGATAAGGAAGGAATTCAATAAAAAAATAGGTTGGGAACCACAGACTTATGGTCGGACTGAAATGGGTGCTGTCATTTATCCACCACTGATTAGGATGGATTTTATAGAAAAAAGTCGTACCTAAAATTATTTTGTTCTGTAGTCCGCGCACCGTTACCTGTTCGCGCACAGGTTCGTTCAGGATACCATATGATTCTCAGTGAGTTGATGGTAAAACATTTCGTTCGACTTTGTGTCTATATATCCTTTTTGTTAGGTAGAGAGAAAAAGAGTTTATTTGTTTTGTCCACCAGAAAACATATACACAACAAACAAGAGAGTTATGCTCAAATATATGGATACGTAGAGCCACATTTTGATGACGTCATAGCGAAAAAAGTAATAGCTTTCTGGAGAAAAATTCTATCTTTAAACACTGAAAATTTCAAGGCAATTGGTCCCAGTCATCAGAGAAAAAAGCGATTTCTTCAAAACGTGTCTAAGAACAACAACAACAACAACAAGACTAACAACAAAACGATCACTATGTCCACTACGTGTCCAAAAACACAATTAATAAAATGCTAAACAGTTCTCGGTACAGACTGGTTGGCAACGACCACGCGGTCATCGGAGTCAGTTACCACCCAATATCAATATCAATAAACATGAATAAAAAATGATTCAGATATGGTTTAACCCGCAGTAGTATATATTTGCGGTTTACCATATTTCAGGTGTGTCCAAAAACAAAATAAAATAGTTACATATACACAATTGGAAAGGCGTTTGATCAAGTTTGGTATTGGTCAAATTTGACATAAATATGTAGTTTTGAGTAAATGGAGCATCAATTGTGTGGAAACAGGTATTTCAAGTTGGAGAATACACAATGACATTTTGTGTAAATGGTGAACGACTTAAGGCAGCATATATATAAAGACATTAAACAAAATCACTACAAAGTAGCAAAATAAATTTGAGCAACAGTGTATAAGGTACCAAAAAGATGCAAAATCTCAAAATTGAGCTTAAGCCTGGGCATGCCAAATAATACAGTAATGCTTTTAGTGGGTTTTATAATGTTATATGACGCGCAATATAAATTTAATAGTACGATTCCAGTTAAAATGCACTTACATAGGGGGATGGATCATTGCCCATTTCGGATGTGATTCAAATTGCAGAGATGAAATGAGTCCAAGTTTGTTTGCTCAGTATTGATACCGACAAACTAAGAAACCAAAGCCTTTTAATTCAGAAAAATTTGGTCTCATTGAAGAATTAATGAACTAGCAAATACACACTTATAGGAAGTAACACCTTTCAAATAGAAACAGCCACAGTTGTTTTTCATACGATCAAGGGGTGTGGTGTTTATTATTTTGAGATCACAAATACAAAAGAGCTTTTACCCAAAGCATGTGCAATACTTGCATAAAAATTAAATAGATCCATTAGTTGTAATCTTATCAACAAACTAGTTTCAACAGTTGGTATATAATGAGTCTGAATTTTTCAAGTTAACAAAGTCGATAAATTTGGATGTAGTCCTATATAGTAAACGCTGAATAAAGAAGCCGCTTATCAAAAAATCACATTGTTTTTCATTGGGGATGAGGAATATCGAGTCACAAAGGGACGAAGCGTCTTTCGACATAGGCATCCAACATTATCCGTTTTTATCGTCTCGACTTGGTCAGAGATTTCTTACTGACTATAGTAGTCTTCTTTTTGATTGTTTGTGGTTAAGGGAAAATCTAAATGTTGAGTAGCTAAGCTAGCTATCGTTGCACTAAATTTCGTTATTGTATGTTATATGACTTCAATAATAGACAGTAAAATGAACATAAAAAAAAGCCCCCAAAAAATAGAAAGGTAAGTTCTGACGCCAAACGTGTTTAAAAACGCCAAAATTGCGAAATTTGACATTAAAAAGGCAAATATGGCAACGCTGATCGATATTACTGTATTGTATCCCTGGGGGAATCACCGGGTTGTTGTAGTTGCGCGAGAAGCCTCGTGATCGTGACTCATACTTCCTATTGAGGAAGCAATAAATAATTCCGACGTAATCACTCAATTATCACTGAGGTAAACAAAAAGATATCGTTAAATTTTATCAAGCATTATTGAAATTATTCAACATTATGACAGTTTATTGTAAAAATAAAAGTTTAGATAACGTTTGTGTATTTCCGTGTTTACTTTGAGTACTGTTAAATTAGTCTCACTTTATGTTTTTTTTTATGATCCATGTTTACTGAAACACGCGTGATTTATATCCTCGCGCTTTACCTAATTCTAGAATTTTCCAAAGAGAAAGTCTCAAACAACGAGAGAGAGGAGAAAGTGAGTACCGTAGTGACGTACGGTACCGGTACCGGTACTGTACGCGAAAAAGATAAGCGAGTTTGAAATACACAGACACTATTCGAGAAATATATAAGATATCGAAGACAATTGAATGGTAGGTACGGTACCGCCACCAGTATATAAATTTAATATTAAAATAGAACGATAAGCTAATACAATGTAAGTTTGCTTAAATGATATTATTAATATATTGGCAATTGACTCCAACTATAATCAGCTTGGCAATATATTTTTGTATATTAAAGTATATTTGTATATTGTATATATTTTGTATATTAAAGTTATCTTTACTGTTCACTTCCATTTATAAAATCGATCAATTCGGCAGTGGCAAACATTATACTTATAAATATACTTTGAATTAATTAATGTGTATTTTTTTAAAAACATAGAAAATAATAACTATAGTCTAAAATTATTATTATGGTGTGGCAAGTGATATTTTTATTTATTTTTTTTTTTAACTACCATGATATAATTTATCATGTTCTTTTTACTTTATAACTTCTGTATGGTTGCGTGTGTGAAATATTTTAATTATTTTAGGTGAGTGAACACGTACCGCTTCTTCTTGGCAAAACCTTCCATCATATATCAGTATATACATTCTGTACGTTTTGAACCTTATCTAAGGTTTTGTTTGCTCTGGTGATTTCATAATCAGTTTTTATTTATTTATTTTTACCAATCATTTCATTGTTGTGCTGATTATGAAGGCGAAATAAACTTATACTTATTATATTATTACCGGTAACTGTATGGGAATGAAGACTAGTGTAAACTAGCTGACTATGGCTGGGAATTTTAGTGAAAACACTTAGACCGTTAACAGGTTAAACAGGTATAATGAACCGGTTAACCACAGCGTGGCTCGCAAGGAAAATTTCTGTGGCCCGCTGAGAAGTGCCAATTTTGAATGGTTTGCTGCGAAACGAGTGTGGTGGTGTGGCTCATTGTGCTAAGCATTAGGAATACGCTCACCACAGCACCTCCGATTACGGTACTCCAGTTGCAAAATACAAATTTTTATAAAAATGTGTTTCGCACTGAAAACGTTTGAAGTCGGTGTGACAATAAATTTGAATAGCAGTTTTCTTTAAAATTTTATGCGTTTTAACTCACCATTTCTGCAAGGCCCCCTAACATGCCTTGAGATCAATAACGATAAGAAACTATTTTTTGTGCTTGCAACAACTAGAAAAGCTATCTTGAATAAAGGTGCGGCACACTGTTTTACCTAGTAAGTTGTATCTGGCCCTCTTGTAATGAAGGCTGCACACCCCTGGTTTAGATCATGAGAGAGCAGAGCACCTTGTTTCTTTATGTATTATTGATTTTAACAGTGTCCAAGCCATCACTACTAAAAATCAAGATTAAAATGAAAACCAGATGCCACCTGTTTGATATCAAATAAATCCCAGCGTTTGGGACATTTTTATTTGAAATACAAGTAATATTAAAGTTTTGCCAATAAATTCTGCTTTGGGAATTTTCTTTTCATATTTCTCTGACAGTTTTGACTATATTCAACGTTGTTGTCAACTGCCAAGTCTGTGATATCTTGTAGCCCTTTCATTGGTAATATTTCCACTTTTTGGACCTGATTTGAACAAAATATATTTTGAAATAAAGTTATGATGTACCGTATTAATATTTATTTTACTTAGAAATTAAAAGGATAAGTACCAGTGATAAAGAAGCTTTGAAGGAAAAATAAAAATGGCAAACCGAGATGTAAGTTTTTAATTTGGCATGTTTTTGCCTGTTAACAACTTACAACATATACATTAATCTCCTAAATTTTACATTCAGTATATTATATCCTCAAAATGCAACAATTTGAAGAGAACAAGTGACCAATTCAATGCATATATGGATACTGTTGAAAAAAAGTTATGCTGTATGTGTGGTGCTGGAACAAAGTGGACAGGAGATTGCAAGTGAGACTCTAGTGGAATTTGATTTGAATTAAACAGTTATTATTTCATTTAATATCTAATTCTAGTATACTGTAGTATGGTCTTTATTCACGAACTTGAAAAAGATTAATATATATTTACTAGCCCCTTGGAAGGTTACGACTCCTAACTAGAGATGTGCGGATACCACTTTCGTCCCCGATACCAACTAAAAACGTCGATACCGATACGACGATATTTGAAAAAAAAGCTGATATTTCGATACTATGTAATTATTACCTCTAGTTAAAACAATAGTCTTTGAGCATTATTAATAGTGCACATTATTTCAGATTGTAAAAGAGATATATACATATATTGAGGGATTGATGTTTGGGATCCAAATGCGTTAATTGATTCAGATGCATTGAGCACTGATGCTGGTAATCTCGGTGTTCAACTCATAGGGTTCGGCTACTATTGGTGGCAAAATAAATAAATGTTAAGCCTCTTTATCCTATCAAACTGATACATTGAGTTACGTGCGTGGGATTTTGTGCAAATGTCATGTCGTATTTTGTATTTTACACATCAGAAAATCCACTGATATTCGATTGTTATATTTCTTCATAATTATCATGTAATATTAAAAATTTCAATATTAAAATTTGGCAGCAAAATAGCCAAATTAGTTGAGCTAGCCTGGCTGAAAAATAGCTAAACCAGGTCAGAATCCTATTCCCCTTTCTACTCATGGGGGTGGGGATGTGCATGGCTCATACGATCTATCCAAGCATAAAATTATTTCAAGATCAGTATTTTAACTTATTTTTTAAAACATTCTGGATCATATTGAAAAGCTGAATACATCGATCTACACTTAACCGATACAGATACATCGGTACATCTCTACTTTTAACTATTGACAACCTAACTATACTGTCATATTAGAGACAGTGTTATACTCTGAAATGTAGTTTAGGTTTGTATGTATCATAAATTTGATTTGAAAATTGATTTTGTAACTGAATATCCTTGAATACCTTGAATTGATATTATTCATAGTTGTAAAAGGGAATTGAATTGCTGATTTGTTCAACATTTATCAACAGTTCGACTGATCCGACATCTACTGTCTGCAAGTCATGCCATTTCAATCCCGATGATACAAGAGACAGGTTTTACATCGATTATGAACCTCATGATCGAACGGAATGTTTTCGCCAGAAAGTATCTTCTTGTGTACAACCCAAGATACTGATGGAAGGATCTACGAAGGAAGAAGCTAAGTAAGTAAAGAATTTTTAGTAAAGACATATTTCTCCATTGTTTGGATTTAAAAGAAGTCATAAATTATGTTCTATGATCATGTAACACTTTGACTACTATGTCTGTTTATGCATAAAAGTGTATTAGTGACAACTGCTTTTCTTGAAAAATACTTCAAAATGAAAAAAAAGGTTCATTAGAGACTTGAGTGAACGATTGGAAACTGATATTTTTTCATAAGGCCCTTATTCTAAGGATATTTAATCAACTGCTGTTTATACTGGGATTTTATCCTAGAATTTTTTGATTTTTATAAGATATAAAGTTTATCTTGTGTTGGTGGCACTCCGTTTTCGCAAGATGGTGCGTCACAGTGGTTTATTTTGGTTTTGTATATCACATTCATATCGATTGTATTAATTTGCACCGTCATGGTGATAAAGCCAGCTATTACCGTAACTGTTTGACTATTAACTGTAAGCTGTTTGACTTTATATTTTTATTGTACAATCAAGTTTGGCCCACTGTATCCTTAGCTCCCAACTAGACGTGATAACATTGTATTACCGGTACATGAATATGATCCATCGTATGCTTGAGCAACATCAGATGTGCTTTACATGTTTGGCCATCCATGGCAAACCAACAAAGGTTGTGGAATATCAAACAACTTGGATTTAGGATTTAGATATTGACTTTTTCAGCTGATATTGTTTTTTTTTGTTGCGAAACAACCGTTAATAACCTTCAAAATGTCATAATAATTGCATTTAAAGTAAACTTGCGACTGCCGTTAATACATAACTCTTTTATCTCAACTACAATACAGATGTACAATTTATTTGAGTGGAATAAAAAATTGATCAAACATATATAATTTACATTTACCGGTACTAGATTTTACTTGATCAGTATATCGAGTAACTTTGTGACACAAATTTTTAATAGGGCTCGTTTTAAATAGACAATGGTTGAATGGGTGCATTACACACAAAATCATCCATGAACATTATTGCCTCTTACAATATGGTTTATGTTGGTAACCAACCATAATAATGTGTTTTTTGCAATTTGTTGTTCATAGTATCTGAAATAGTGTTACAATATATCATTTTATTTGTCTCATAGCTGCTAAAACAATATTCATGATGTCTTGTTTTATGTTTGAATAATATCGTTTCAATTCGTAAATGAGCATAATGTGATTTTCAACATTTTTTCCATCTTTGTCTCAAAATATCAAATTCCAAGAGTCGTTAATGATAATATCATTCACTTTACTGTAGAATAGGCCATTTACGAACAGTCATAGGTCGGTCAGTCGGCACAAGAGATAAAGATTTTATTCATCCTTAGTATTCCACCATTCACAGTCTGAATTTATATCTTCATCGTAACATGGCTGATTTTCGCGACCCACGAGATATTTTGTTCATCACAATTATTATGCGCTATTGAATGGATGCCCATAATATATGCAGTCAATTTTTTATTCCATGCATTTGTATATAACATCAAATGTATGCTTTTATACTCTCATTCTTTCTGTAGGTGCGTCTGTCCAGCTCATATGATTGAAAAACATCGACAATGTATTGAAGTCAGAAGCACAAAAAGCCCAGCTGAAAGAGAAGCAACAATAAAGCCAAAGCTTATCACAAGAATAACCCAAAGTGTTACTGACAGTTCAGCTTACAAAACATCATCTGGAGCAAAAAAACTTCGAACAAGTAGGTTATTCTATATTTGTATTGGACCTATGTACCCATAGTGCATTTGACACATTGTACATATGTATTGTACCCATGTATGTACCGTTGTATTGTACCAATGTATGTACCCGTGTATTGTACTCATGGTGCATTTGACATTTGGTTGAAATATTGATTGAAAATCTTTACAGCAAATACAAATCAAAATTTATTTAAAGAATGACAAAATGCCCCAGTTGGGAAATGTAGTTTAAGAAGTGGTTTCAATATGCACAATATAATATAAAAGTACTAGATATTCAACATCAGTTTGCCACACGCATACAATTGTATAGTTGTATAAAATAGTTATGTTTTTTTTTTTTCAATTAAAATATTTTTTTAATGACAGATGCATCAAAAGGGAAATTTAGTACACCTAACTCACCTAAGCACATTATGGAACCAACGACAACAGGTAATGGAGCTTAATTAATATCAAAATATATTTAATATGGCTTGGTAAAAAGCAAACAATTGTAATAAATAAGAAAATAATAGTATATTATAGCTTTAAAATCAGAGATCATTTTTATGGTATGCTAAATAATGTAATTAGGATTTCTTAAGTATCATAATATGGCACTGACCATGTCGTTAACTAGCTCTATTTTGATGCTGTTTGTCTCTATTTTTTAGATAGTATAACCACAAACTATGGTCTAACAACAAATAGCTTTGTCACAAATGATTCAAATCAACACATCAAACCATCAGTCAATCCGGGTAAGAATATGAATAATAATGATTCCATAATTTTGTGTCTATATATCGCAGATATGGGTTGTATGTATCAAAATGTTAGTGTAATATCAATTTTTTGCCAAACACAAATAGTGAATTCTTAGTCAATCAATCTGATGTGGGCCAAAAATGAATTTTTGGTACAAAATGTGAATATGCATGATCTATACATAGTCTATCTATAATTTGTGGTTTGTTGTTAATGCCTTCCAAGGGAGTAATGTATTTCTCCTTATGAACCATTTTTTCTGGAATGTGTTATTGCACAACTTGGCTGTAACACTTTCCAGTCAGCCGATGACATGGTTCAGTGCTTCAAAAAAGGAAAGAAGACTGGTGGTGTGATTTTATGCTGATCCACCTGATGTATTTGATTGGTTGATCGAATGAAGGCGTTGCTTAATTTTTTCAAGAAGTTTTCATTACTTTCTTTCCATATGAACCCAATTCAAGTATAAATTTTTATTTAGTATGTGTGACATGATTGGCCCATTCAGTTTCATAACAAGAATTTGTTTTGTTTGACCGGAATATCCAAATATTTTAGTTCTACTTGATGTTGAGTTTTGTTTTTATAAAAATATGAAAAGAAGATCCAAGTGAAAATAATGCTTTTATTCTAAAGAACTGATTTTTATGGGTATACAGGAATGCCAGACTTGGGAAAAGGACTGCTGGCTGCAGGTCTCATTGGTTTTGTAATATCAGTTGTGATATTTATGATTTGGAGAATGAAAAGACGCCAAGGTGTGTGATTTTTTAATGGATTAAAATATAAATTTCATCTGAGCTTATCTGTAGTACTTGACCATTATTACAATTTGGGTAACCAATGATTTGGTAATGCTTGGTGTGAAGCCGTGGTCGGTGTAAACACATTCGGCAAGTAAATGACATACAACTGACAATATTCGCTTCTGCTTCTTACTACAAAACAAACACTGCACAACAGCCATTGCTATGACTACGACATACATCCACGTGCGGATAATAACAAAGTCATGAGCGACTTGTGAGTAGAGGGCCTCAAAAAATGATCGCAGTCTGCCGACCACTGGTATAAAGAATACTTTTGTTAATAATCATAGAAAGTTTATTGGTTGAAAATCAGATATTAAAAAGCATACACTACAATTCAGAATTAACATTTTAAACATTTTATTCTCTAGGAACTCGCAAAAACAATGGAAAAAGTTCTCGGGAATCAACAGTAAGATGTTGTAAATTATAATATGACTTTATTATATTGATTAATAATCAATAACTAGTGAATGTGACACAAAACTTGCAACATGTCCATAATTGAATTTTTCGAGAATCCTTATTATTTATGAGTATAAAAAATTTCTGGATATCTATTCATCTATAGCATTGTAGAATAAGGAATTGCAACAAGTTTCTATGAAGAATTTATCTTAGTTCTTATCTTTTTCTATAGAAATGTTATTGCTTCATATGTCTTGCTCTACCTATTTTTGATATATCTAATTTGAATCTTTTAAATATATGGACTTTCTGAGATACATTTATTCCCTGGTATTTCAGGGAGGCATTGATAAAGTAAGATAGTAAGATAAATAATCTGTTTACATGACTTTCATATTCACAAATTCTAGGCAAGATATCAGAAAACAAAGATAGTGTAATCATGCAATTGCATGACCCAAAGGTTGACTCATAAATTGTAATTCCCTATTTTTATTTCCTATTTCATTGTTATTTTAGCCCGATAATTCAAGAGCTGATTTACTAGGCAGAAGAATAGAGAGTGAACCTAGAGAATATGATGATGGTGTCATCAGTACAGACAATCACACTTATGAAGGAACTCCAGAGACAAACAATAAAGCTTTCCCCTTTAATAGGTAAACCATACGTTTTTTTATCAGAATTTACATTATCTTAGAACTGTTCCTATTTTCTTGTGTTAAACTGAATCACATGTAGCTCAAAATCCCATGAGATGTGTTCAATGTTTGGAATTTTGTAACTTCATTTTTAAGTGCATCGGAGTCTGTTATTTTTTAGGCAAATTTCAATCAGATCTTTTGTAGTTGCATATTTTAATGGCATTTTTCAAATTCCATAGTTTTTAGTTCACTTTTTAGCATGGTATTGGGGGCTTTTGGGGCCATTGAAAAATTTTATTCCAATATTTCAGAGAATACCCTAGAGTCAGAGAATACTCCATACAGCATGATGTAGTGGAAGCACAGGTGAGAGATATAATTTATTGGTTCAAGTTTATAGTGCAACTTTCCTAAATCTATGATAAGATTTTGGAATATTTTAAAGTCCTTTATTATAGGCTTTGATTTGCAATTTTCTAGAAAATTAACCAGTTATATTGTTACCAAATATATTGTTTCCTAAGAGTTAGGTGTGTCTGTGTCTGCTATTCACATTCTGGTTTTGATTGTTGTATGTTCAAAACCTATACCATGAAAATCTCCTTAATTTTTTTCTGTTTTAGAAGCATTTTTCACTTGGCATTAGTGTGTAATGCCAAATTTCTTTTTAAATATGCAATTACCATTTATACTCGGTTTTATTTGTGCTGCCGTATAACTGATAATCTTACTTCTTATGTACATGAAAAGGCACTCCAGAAGTATGTGTATCAATATGGAGGTAACTAATTTTGTTCGCCTATTTTACATCGAACTGTGTAAAGGGACTGAAACCTTTGGGCAGAGGGTATATTCACTTGGCTAACACAGACAGTTCTAGAACTGAAATAAGGAAAATCAGATTAAAATTATGGCCTAACCCTAACCTGGTACACATACTACGAGAGTGCCCATGAAAATTATTTTCTAATAAGTATTCCTTATTGACAATTTTCAGTATTTCTTTGTATGAATATTGTAGATTGATGTTGTTGAAAGTAGAAAATCTCAAATTTACAACTTTCAATATACACAGGTTTTACCAAATGGAGATGATTTGAATATTCAAGCATTCAATAATTACCATGATGGATTTACTTCGAGTCAATGTAAAGAGTTTGGTAAGTATTACCGAGTCACAAAAAATTCATAGATAAATGCACTGAAATATATAATGTGTTTATGCGAATCAAATTTTATTTATTGTTGGAATATTGAAGTCTAAACTTGTGAGATTGTTTTAAGCTACAGTTCTAATAAAGCATTTCTTTTTTCAAGCATTGGATTTAGCAAAGAAGTGGGGAAGTTCTATTACCACCCACCAAGTGAAACCTGTCTTTCGGTCGCTGTTTAGGACAAATCATGACAATATTATTGATGCTAAAGAAAAAGAGTATGCAGGTAAAAATTTCCAATGATTCTTTTTATAAATCAAATAACCTGTTGCTTATTTGTAAACAGATTTTTAACTTATTTCAGAACACTAAACTTCTGTTTTGATATCATAAAACCGCAGGGTGATCGTAATATATCATAGACCAAGGGTGGGCAAGGTATTTGAACCAAGGGCCAAAAATTTAGTCCACCTAGACTGGCGGGCCATGTAAGTGTGTCGTTAAAGTCACATCATATGAACAATATTTACAGTGTTACAAAAGCAAAAGTGGAAAACAATAAGCCTCGTGCCAAAATTAAATTTCAACGCAATTTCAACAAATTCTGTGCAATATTTTTCAGCCTAAATCTCAAAATTTGGGTTTAGTCAGGTTGTGGCAGTATTGAGGATCAGCCGGGCCGGATTGGATTTCCTAACGGGACGGATTTGGGTCGCGGGCCGTAGTTTGCCCATGTCTGTTATAGACTCTTCTGAAATTCAAATACTCGCACATTTGATTAAATTTGGATTTATCCTTCGATAAATTGTTCCTTTATAAGGTATACCAATCAGAAGAAAATAGCGAAACAACAAGAACACTGGTTAAAAATCATTGCTATATTGGAATGTTTTTACAGCATATGCTATGGGCCAGAGGTCTCAATAACCAATAACCATCATGTTTGATGACTTACACATGCTTGCCTTAACTTTGTCCTAGATTTTACTTTGTTTGTGACAATCAAAAAACTCTTTTTTGTATTTCATGTTAAATCCTTAGTTCATTCCCCAGTAGTAATATTTTGCAATGTCTCAAATTACAGCCTAATTCAGTGAAACTCTCCATAAAGTGATGACTTTGCTCATGCGTTTATGTGCCTCTTTATATGGTAGTCATGTCAGATAGTTTTACTGGCAGTGAACTCAATATATTCATTTTTGCAGGTGACCTTCGTGAATTTGTTTATCAATTAATGGCGATTGTTCACGAAAATTTGGGTCGAGATCTCAATCCTCAATATATTTTAAGCAAACTGAATCGAGTTAATCCTCGGCCTGGTAATTTGATTGATATTACTCAAGATGCTCTCAATGATTGGCAGCGAGAATATGTGTGACTTTTGTACAATTTTGGTGGAAATTGCTGCTTTGTGGCAAAAATGCAGTTATGTTTCACATACCAGGGGTTGCATCGATTCCAGAGTGAGAGTTGCATAAATCCAGATGAAGAAATGCTATACACTTGATCAAGCCCAATTAAAATTTTTGGCTTACCTCCGTGCATAAACATTACACTCATTCTTTATCTAAATCCGAACTCTTTGCGCCTCGTTTTTCACCGAGTTCTCAATAGAGGCGTCATCATTTGGAATAGTTTTACCTAGGGTTTATGTGTCTCCACATATGTCACTTTCAAAATAAAATATAAAAAACTTGTGCTGTCATCTTACCTTTCGTCTGTCATTCCATCCAGTTAGTGTACTAAGAGCTCCCCCTCTCCTTGTCATTGCCAGCAAAATGCCTAATTTGGCCAACAGGAGTTGGCAGTACCTGGAATAAAGACACTGCGAATGTTTTGTGCAAATATTGATGTTTTTTTTTATTCTCATCTATTTTGATAGTGCATGCCCTGCACTGCATACTGTAATACATATTCTATAAAACTAGTGAATTCATTTTGTTTGATTCACAAAGCTATTTATTGTTGCATTCATTCATTTTGTTGAGCGATTACTTTGACCCATATTTCCTAATCATTGCATCGATTTTCTTCATGCTATTATCAATTACCATTAGGCTTTGTCATGGGATGTCGCTGCTCAACACCCTTCATGCCGAAATACTAGTTTTATATCATTTCACATTCAGTGTTCACCAATTGTATTTCATGTATGGTGGGAAAATGTACTACTGATCACTAATAACTACACTACATGGATGGATGGACCAACATGCCAAAGTTGTCAAGTCAAGATCTCATACAAAAACTATACTTTATTGAAGCATGTTATATAGATAAATTTCGATTGGATTGTGATTTTTGTACCAGTTTATTATTGATACAAAATCCTATTTGTGCCAAACATTGGCAAGGCAATTCAGTACATTTTTAATATAGTGTCGTGATTTTTTTTTTTGAAATCTTCCATTATTGTATTTTTATAAACTTTATACAACCGGATAATTTCGGATCATTGCCAGTCGGCTGCTTGTAATTCATTTCGTGTTTGGAGTTTGCGTTTAAGTAGTGTTCTACTCGTTAGTGAACAACGAGAGTAAGCCCCAATGTTTGATCTGGAAGTAGTTGTGTCGGTACCGAAAGACTAAAATTTAAAATGGCATTACAACCAAACAAATTGGTATGTGGGCAATATAACAAATACTATTGTGGCACCAGATGTCGATAACCTTGGAACACCAGGCCCCAGCATCTGCGTACTAACAGGCTGTAAGCTTTTCTAATAGAACAAAACTGATTTTGACAAAAATTTACCTCAGAGTGTCCTACCCTACCTGCATAACCGTCACCACGAAGTCGTTCGCTATGCCTACAGACTAGGTTAGCACGCGAAACTTTGAGGTGCGGAGTCGAGGAGATAAATGGAAAAGGCGTGACACTGATTTTTATCGTGATCATTTGGCGTCATTACTCAACAAGCATGTTGCCGTCAGCTCAACAGAGTGCACAGTATGGTATAGAAATTATCTAATAGAAATAAGTTTGGCGGTATGATATGTCAAAAGAAATTATTGAAGCTGCGCTTTGTCAACGATTTACAATTCGACAACGGATCTGCAGTAGTAGGCCCATGCACTCGCATACAGATTGCCACCACGGTCTTTTGCACGCATGAGCCCCTAATACTTCTCCCATTCTATTGTAATCCGAAAAGATGTGGTATAAAACAAAGTAACTTAGAAATTGATTAGATATCTTTTCAGACTATCGCTCTCCTCACAACTGGTTTCATTCAAACTTTTCTGTGATAGTGTTTTTTTTGTTCCTGTATTTTAACAATACGTTGTCCCTCAAATTCTCTTTTGCCCGATTATTCAAACTACAAGTATATATATACATATTGATCGTTTTCCAGTTCATATATATATTATCGGACACGAAATGGAGCTATGGATCGTTTTTTGGCAATAAGTGGGCCTATACATCGTTTTGGTATAATGTTGTTGTTCCCATGAAAAAATCGTCTTTTTCGTTACTACGGGACCGATCTTCATTGGTTAAAGATTGTTGTTGTCGGTAGAAAGCTATTAGGCTTTACTTTGTTCCTAAATATCATATAAAACATTTGGGACTCATATTTTATGCGAAATATTGTTGTTTTATTTCTATTCTTGGGATCACGGTTTTTATTCCGCCAATTGACACGGTCTATGTCAGGTTTGTCCTCCATTTTGATTCGGCGAAGTCGGTGCTCGCCCAAGGGAAGAAGGGTACGACAAACAATCGGATGCCTAGTGTACTTTAGTACCACAAGGGCTTCTGGTGGGCGTTCATGACCCCATCTGAATAAGTCATCCAAAAATTACGTACGTCACTGCGACTTCACAATCCTGTCAATAGAAGAAAGATTGTAGTTGGCTTTAGTGAGTTCCTTATCGCGACACGGGCGATCGTTTTTAATTGGATTTTTAAACTTTTAATTTTATTTCGTATGGGAGCAATTTAAAGCTGTCACAACACCGCAATATACATTATAGGTATATTTAAACCAAATAGGATTTTGTCATAAGACTGAAGATGCTATGATGCAAGCGCTTTAGAGCAGGGATGTGCAACCTCGACTACAGGAGAGCCAAATACAACCAACTGAGTGAAGCCGCGGGCCGCACCTGGAAACTTTACATACGAAAGGCTCTGAATACAGAAATGCCAACTTACGAAAGTTCCTCTCTACGTCCTTACTTACGGAATTTTCGACATACGAAGGGGTTTCCGGAACGAATTAATTTTGTAGATGGAGTTTCTACTGCAGTTGCAAGCACAAAAAATTGTTTCTTTTCGTTATTAATATAATGGCATTGTTAGGGGTCCTTGCAGAAATGTTGGGTTGAAACGCAAAAATTTCTGAAGAAAACTGTTTTTCAAATTCATTGTCACACCGACTTTAAACGAATTCATGGAGAAACACGTTTTTGTAACATTGTGTATTTTGCAATAGGATTTTGCTAGCTAGTTTTGCTAATGTGACAATGGCACTCAGGTACTGCACTGGTATAGGCTTTGCGACGCAAGGTGGTTGGAATTGCTCGCACGTACCAGATTTTTCTTTGCGGGCCAGATTTGGCCCGCTGGCCGCAGTTTGCAACCCCCTTTTTTTGGAGTATCCGTATAAAATAAATATTTTGACAAATCTGATGATTTTTGGAGTCATTTTGCAGTCAGGTTTTTTGGCTGACATATTTTGATACAATGAAAGTTGATGAGTAAGTCTGGGATAAAGGGGATAGTGTAATATTTAGCCCACGAATATTCGAAGAACAATTAGTATATGTACGAAGTAATGTCGTATAATTTTATAATATACATTTGATATCATTGGTCGAAATGATGGATGCACTTCTCAATACTGCAGCAGTATATTTGTCTTCTGTGGAGATCTTCATTTAGTTTAGCTGTCGACTATTTGATGAATTTAACATCCACTTTTCACGCGCTCGTCCTTGATCCGCTTGCTTCTTCGTATGAAGGTGGAGGACAGGAATCGTTGCCAGACGTGTTTTGAGATAAGGAAACCGGAAAATTTCTACTATTTTTTAGCACAGTGTCATACGATGGCGGTTCTACGTCGGCAATGGCTGTCAACGAGTCGTTGGTGAAATCGGCGGCCTGGTTTTCTCTTGATGTTGTGTGAGGTTCTCCATTTTGATTGGTCTGGTTTGCGCTTTCCCTGCACAGACCAAGAAAACAATTTTTCAGAGCAAGTCCGCAACAACAAGCAAGCATCACGATACTCAATACTGCAACTAAGAGTATCACTGGCGGTAAGCCCTTGCATTGATCCACCGAATCGTACTCCAAATAACGCAAAGGAGTTCCGGCAAGGTAAGAAGGATACCTGCAGAATCCGCCTTCAAACACATTATAAAAGTTTGGGTTTTCATTCATCCATTTGATAAACTCGCACATTTCACTACAAACCCATTTGTTACTGGAAGCTACTGCTTCTTTTAAATGTCCTGATTCATACGGAGAACTGAAATATTCTGGATACAGCACAGAAAGCCCACAATCATTGATATATATTTTCTCAAGTTTCCACAGATGATATAGAGCAAATTGTGATATTGATCCTAAATATTTGTTTGATTCCAAGTTCAAGTAAACCAGGTTTTCAACATTGTCAAAAACGTTAGCCGATAGATCCTGTAAGCAGTAGAAGTAAAACATAAAGTAAAGCAGGTATAGGCTATATATATATGAAAATTTCCCAGTATAAGATCGTTATAAATGGTTTTTAAATCAATAATCCAGTAATATAATGATGCCAACAAATTGTCGACTGCATACTAGCTTGCAAGATTTGGCCTGATTGAAAAATGCGAAGCAAAAAAGACCACATTTCATAATTGCTTGACGGTATGGCGCATCGTGTTGAATGGTAGGAATCCCGTGAGAATAGTTATGGGCGGAAAGATCGCCAGACTCCTTGTCGACGCTGTTCAGTTACGGTTTTGATTCAGAGTATTGTTTATTCAATAATTCTAAGTAAAAAACACTCCCAAAATTAATGACAAAGTATAGAAATAAAGTTTGGGGTCAAAGGTCAGACGTCCATTTTGCTCTGATTAAACGTATTTTTATTCAATAATTTTACACGAATGTACTGAACAGTACCATTATGCAAAGTTGCACGAACAGTCTCAAAATTAATGACAAGGCATAGAAATAATGTTTGGGGGTAAAGGTCAAACTTCATTTTTGCTCTGATTCAACGTATTTATTTTCCAATAATTTTACGCGGATGTATTAAACAGTCGGACAGTATAAGTAGGTATAGTATAATAAATCATCTAAAATCAAAGTCAGTTGCACGCGGGCGCAGTCCTCTTGCACGCCATGAGCTATAATTGCACGCCGGGAATTCTGATTTGCACGCGGGAATTTCTGATTGCAGGCCCGATTTCTCGTTCAAAAATGCCATGAAATCCAGACTGGCCGGACAGTAATGGTAGCAGTACTCCAACTAACTTAGCTGTCGCAGGTCCTGTGGCGATGAAGATTTATGCGTCCAGTCTCAGTGTGAATCGAAATAGCAAGTTATTCAGGTCACAACCGCAGTATGAAATCTTTTACAGTATCGGTAGTCCACGTTCAGCTTATCATAAAATTCCCGACTTCGATGAGCACCAGATCGATGGAATGCTATCGCGGAACCGCCACGCGATGCTGACGTCATGACACAGAATTACAATGTGCATAAACGAATCCCATAATGCCCACGGAAATTGAAATAAATAAAAGTAATCTTTATACACAAAAAATCTCAAAATAATTGGTTCAGTAGTCATAGAAAAATATGTTTTATTAACAACAAGAAAAATACAAACAACGACAACGCAATAACAACAAGAGAGCTATGCTCAAATATATGGACACGTAGAGTCACATAATTTTGATGACGTCATAGCAAAAAAAAAAGTAATAGCCTTCTGGAGAAAATTTTTATCTTTAACCACTGAAAATTTCAAAGCAATTGGTCCAGTATTCGAAGAGAAAAGCGACTTTTTAAAAACGTGTCAAAGAACAACAACAACATAATATTGAAACGATCGTTATGTCCACTACGTGTCCAATAACGATCCATAGGTCCATTTTGAGTCCAATAACAGCGAATATTGTTATCAGTGAGAAAAGAAGATTCTGTTTATATTGGATAAATAGCTCTGACAATATCTGCATATGTAATTATTAGGTCACCATACCTGTATATTACAACGGCTAATATCTAAGATTTGCAAATATGTCAGTTTCTCGAATTGATATCCCTTCAACGACAAACGATTTGAATTTGTTAAATTCAGTGTTTGCAAAGTAGGTATTTTCACTGAGAAATTTATACTCTCCAGCATGCTTGTTGATATTTCAAGTGCCTAAAAAAATTATAATGGAAATAATCAGTACCAACAACCTGCCTTTTCCCCTATGACAATATTGCAAATTGATATTACTTTCAAATTATGAAATCCTTTGAATGCATTGTGATCTACATACGTGAGTCCAGTATTGCGTAATATCAAACTTTCAAGATGTGCGCCGTATTCGACAAAACTGTGATCGTTCAAAAAGTATAAACTCGGAGAGTTCTGTATCACAAGTTTCACTACAATATCGCCTGGAAAACATCTTGGTATTTCCGTGATTCCTGAAAAGGGAAATGGGAACAATGAAGCAACGCTTGAATATATGGACATGAAGGTCATACTGGATGCTGGACTTGACATTGTTTTTTATAACCTTTGACCAGTTATGACGTGATGGTTGGGCGAGGAGGCCTAGTGATTGAAGTATTAGCCTAGTTCTCTGTTTCAAATTCTATGCTCACCTTACCCAGGGTCAGTGATTTCCCTACACCCCCCTATAGGGGGTGAACACCCCCCCTAAAATTTCAAACACCCCCCCTAATTTTGAGGTGCGATTCCACACTTTATTTCCTAACTCAAGTATAATTGTATTCAAATATAACGACTATGGCATATTTATCAGTGTAGATGAGGGGTTCTAAACCGCAGTCTGTTGGACAATTACGGCCGGCGTGGCGATTTAAAATGGCCCGCCGAACTTGAGTGAAACAGTTTAACGGGCTAACCCTTCATGTGGTACCTTTTAAGTTTAGATACCGTCTATCGTTACATCATTATCACAGTTTAAGCGCGTTTATTTCGTAACAATTGAATTATACCGGCATCTTATGTATACGTACGGGTATTAGGATTACACACTTCAGTATTTTAGATATTTGCCGTATATTAAGAAAGCTTAAAGATGTCACAAAACGAAAACTAGGCACTGAAAACAGACGTTTTTTAGATGAATGAGAGCGTTTTTATTTCTTCATTGAAAAGAATCAAACTTCAGCGATTTATCTTCTTACCAACAAAATATTTCA